GATAAATTAATTAACACGTTGAGTCCCACGTGACCACATGTATGGTCACAATAACACATAATTCCGACCCACCCTGGGACTCAACGTGTTAAGTACTAAAGACACTTTTGATTACCTTCACTTTCCTTGTCATCACCTAAATTCATAGAGAGTTGACTTTTAATCTTATCGATGGAGAAAGCATTTTCATTATCATCATCATCATCATCAAAGCCAAGCCCTTCCAAGTCTTTTAAAGCATTAATGTCATTTATATCACTTCCCTAAAAGTAAAAATAGAGTTTGGAGGATTAGATAAAAAAAATTTAGATATATGGAGAAGGCGGTAAAAAGCAAGCTGCTCACAGGCACTGAAGATGATTCAACTTCAGAACGAACTGGTTTGGGATCTGAGACACCAACTTTGGGCAGCAAGCTTTCAATGGTTCCCAACTGGCCCATGACATCACAGTAAGCTAATTCTGCAGGCACCTTGGGGTTCCATTCAAGACCACAAATTTTTTGCCCCCTCTCATGAGTAAAACTAGTGGTTGGAGAAAACTTGTTAACATCCCACACACATATCATACTGTGGGAGACTGCTGCTAAGTAATTGCCACATGGTGAAAAAGAAGTGATAGAGAACGGCTGCAAAAAAAAAAAGCAAGGGTAAAGAGATTGTTATTATTTCAATGTGTTACTAATTGAAAATGATAATTACATCAGTACAGCTGGTTGATGAAAGGGAGGCCACTTCAGACCAAGTTGATCTCTCATAAATTCGTATTTCTTTGTCATGAGGAACTGCTAAATACTGTCTCCCGCTTGGTTGCCAAGAGGCTCGTACTAGGAGAGGTGCAGTGAAAAAGTCATTAGCTTTGGGAACACAATCCCATTTTTGAACTGAGTCTCTCAGTTCTATATCCCAGACTTTGACAGTTCCGTCACAAGATGATGAGACCTACAATAAATTTGAACAAGATTAAAAAAAGATGCTGATGAAGAAGATTTTTTTTAATAGAAAATTATTACTAAGCATACCATGTACTCTTCTTTAGGATCTATTGATAGGCCTAAGATCGGAGCCGAATGGCCAACTAAAACAATATCTGGCTCGGAGTTCTTTAAATCTGATATGTGAATTTCTGTGTCACTAGCAAAACAAAGCAGAATTGTAAGTGGAAGATTGATTCAAAATAATTTAACATACTCTCAAGACATACTTACCATGATCCAGCAGCTAGAAATTTACCACTTGCACTGACAGCAATATCAGTAACTGGGGCAGTGAAGCGTGTTATCACCCCATCTCGCTTATATTCAGGAAATGTGTAAGCTTGAACCCAGTTGTCATCGGTACTGACAAACATTCGATCACCCTAGGTTGAAGAAAATTGAGGTTTTATGAACACTTTTTTAAAAAATTGGCACGAAAGAACAAGAGAATACAATACGATTGTTATCATTACATGTTGTACAACAGCATTTGCTTTCTCTTCGGCCACACAAAGGGTATGGTTATCATCGTCCTCAATTCCAGCCCAAATCCGTACTTCTCCATCATGCCCACAAGTAATAATGTATCTGTAAAAAAGACGGACGTTGGCTTTGTTGTCTACAAGTCACAGCCAAGTCTATTTTCATTTTTACGTTCTAATTACTTACTTGCCAGTGTCAGAATATGCTACGTCTGTGTGTCCTTCTGAGTGGGCATATCGTATAGGTTTCTGGATCGGGGACATTTTAGCACCTAATAGCGGATAGCAGCAGTAGTACTGGAGAGCTACCTTTTAATCAGAACAAACACAAACTAAAAATAACTTTCATGGCAACGAAACAAAATTTTTCCCCAAACTTTGATGTACTGCAGACCGCTAACTGCAGACGGTCTATTTCGCGCCTTAACCTATCGTTTTTCAACTCTTGGCCAAAGGCAAATATCAGAGAGGTCAAAACACAAAAATTGATAACACAAAAACAACAAAATATTTCTGGAAAGATATTCGTTAAAACTAAGTTGAAAATAACTGCACACTACAAAAAATGTTTTCGTTGAATGTCAACCGTACGATTTGTGAAACGAGACGATTAGGGTTAATTCATTTGAATGTTTGAGTTGGTACATGAAAAAAGGGGTCGGAGAGCGCGAAATTTGAAGAACGAAAACAGAAAATAATTGGGGCTACGCGATACGGAGATAGAAAACGAGGGTCGAAGAGATATTCTCTTCAATTTGATAGCACTAAACCAATTATCTTTCGAACATTAAAAAAAAATGGAACGAGAAGGCAAAGGAGGTATAATTGTAATAATGGTCATGTTTTATTGGATTTATTTGTGCTTCATTTGAGGTTCAGATACGGCAGTGAGGCTCAGGACACCCGACTGGCCGCAAATTTTTATGGGAACGTAACATCCAGGCGCCCGGCGGCGCCAGCGTATACTCACCGCCCCCAAGGCGCTCACAAGGCGGGCCGCGGGCTCCGCACAGCTGCTTGACGGGTTGGCCTACCCAGCGCGCTGCAGGCGCCATGGAGAGCACTGGCCCATACACATCCTTTCCCAGAAAACTTTCATCTATAGGCACAACAGCCGAGAGGGACTCGGAAGTGCATTTACCGAGAAATGCGTAACTGGGACTGGCTTCAACTCGGCTTTTATGCCTGCGACTCCTGGAGGGCCGGTCGTTGCGCGTTGCGCCCCTCAGTGTGTCCGACGTCCGACGGGGAGGTGCATGGTTCCTCTCCTTATCAGCTGGAGCAGGGCGAAGCGGGCCAGGCGGACCTCCTCAAGACGCTGCATTGGGGATATCTCCAAGACGTTGTCTGGGGAGGACTTGTGAGCGGCGCGGCGCGGCCCGCGAGTCTTATCGTGGGTAAAGTTGACCCGCAAGGAGTAGGGAAGCACCTGCTGCTCCCCAGGCTGCGTCCGCACGCCGCGCTCGTTCTGGCGCTGGCCCACCCACCGACTGCAGGGCTGCGCTGTCTCCGAGGTGGTTGGTTGGAGGGTCTCCTCCAAAGATTTGAGTGGGCGATTGTCTCCACCCCGGTCCACGACCCCGCTCACCGGTGAAGTGCGGAGAGGTCCATTTGATATCAAACTCAATTAATTAAAGTTGGTCCACAGGCGGCGCAGGACTGGTGTGCGCTCGCTGATCTTGGCGCGGCGGTGTCTCCCCTCTCTGTAGGGCTATGATGGAGCTGGAGGAGAGCGAAATCTGGAAGTGAAACGTTTCCGAGAAACGCGCGCGAGCCAGGATGGTGATGGGGACGTCCGTCGGGAGCGCATTCACCGCTGCCGTGTTCTCACGACGTTTGTTACACGCTTACCGACCGCTTTGCCGCCACAATGGCGATGCCGTCTCTCAGCGCGCCGCTCAAGGCTCGGGGAGGTCCTTGGAGCACCCTCCACAAGGACCATCGCTCGGCAAGGGACGGGCGGCGGCGGGCAGGGGAGCCAGGAGCCAGGCGGAGCCAGGGGACCAAACCTCAAGCGGTTTCCAATTGGAGTGATTGTTCACACTACAGCGCCTTCTTTGGCTAGAGGGGCTGATGCCATCTGATGCTTGCCCCTCGCAGGTGAGTTCACACGGGTGAATGAGGCCGTGGCAGCCTCGGGAGCGGGGCCCTGCGCCTTGCGGCTAAACTGACAGTTTGTTTTGGGACGACCTAGGAGTGCAACAGGGTGGAGTTCCGTAGTTGCTGATGATGGAAACTTCACTATCAGGATGAAGACGAGAAGCGGAGAATTGCCCAGGAACAGAACAAAGCGCCGTTTTGATATGTTCCTGGCCAATCTTCGAGCTCGATTTTTCTCTAAGATTTTTTTCTCCATGAGCCATCTTAACTATCTTTTTGGTTGAATTTAAAAAGAATATAAATGGTTGACGGCACTATTAGGGCGCTCGCTCGTCATCCATACATAATCATTAGATGTAGCCGTGATATGCGATCCCCCCGGCTCCCCCGGCAGCCCCCCGCCGGCCTCCTTTGCTCGCCGATGTTGTTTTCTGCTTCCCGATACCGTCGCTGTGTCGCCGTGCGCTCCCGGCCCGCGGGCTGGCGACCCCCACGGCGAGACTACTTGCTTTGTGCCGAGCCCGTGGGGCGGGCGCTACACACGTTACTCGACTAAATGAAGCGTGAAGTGTAGTGCCTGTTCCTGTTGGTGCCTTATCAGATATCGCAACCCACAATGTCACTATGCTCTGGCGTGGCGACGACGCTGGAGAGTGTGAGCGTTGGAGGGATGAAATCGCCCTGTCCGCTGGTTGCCCACTACTCGTTTGGTTCCCCAAAACCTCCAGTACTCCCTGCCTTTCTGTCCAAACAGCTCGCCTACCAATATGTGTATCGTGCAGCATCATTTCTCATAAAGGCGGCGCGCGTTTTTGTTATCTCGCATAATTCAGTGTGGCCAAACGATGGTCAAATTTGATATGTCGCCGTGTTTGCAGCAGATTAGAATAGAGGAGGTTTGTCGAGGGGGGATGGACGCGCACGTGCCCGACCTGGTCAGCTCAATCGCGCGTGACGCAGCGCACCGCAGCGCACGGGACGGGACAGTGGCTACTTGTTAGCGCTTTTGTCATCCCCGGGCCGGACAGACAATGCGGCGCACGATAGGCTACCCGCCAAGTAGCCAAAATAGCACCACAGTCTGCGGTCGGCTTGTTGCCGCAGAGGAACAAACACGGCATTAACAAAACCCCATCGAGTGTGAACAAAATACCTCCACGACAAACAAACAGCCCGCGGGGCCAACCTCCCCCCTCCCCCGGTCTTTTTCTCTCCGGCGCGGGTCTTTAGTCCGGGGTTGTGCCCTCGCAGCAATCACATTAAACTCGGGCCCCGAGAGAGGATAGCAAAAGGGGTGTGGGGAGAAGAAACGATAAAGAGACGAGAGGGGCTGTGTGCTGAGGGAACAAAGGACGGCATGTGTTTTACAGAGTGTGTGCGTGAGAGACAGAGGGGAAAGGAGCGAGAGAGAGCTAGAGAGAGAGACAGACAGAGTGAGGCAGGGAGACGGGGAGAGAGAGGGGAGAGTTAGAGAGGGGGGGGGGGTCTAAACGGGTGCGCACTGCTCGTCTCGTCACAAAGGCCTTGCCCCCTTACAAAAGCAAATCTCTCCCCTACCTGCCGCGACTGCCGCTGCTGCTGCTGTCGCAGCGGCAAAAGGGGGGAGGGGGGCGTCCCGTCAGACGGGTGCGAAAGGCGCCTCTTCTGGAACGCACCCCTGAAAGAGAGAGAGAGGGAGAACATAAAAAAGAAAAGAGCAGCGAAATCCAAACCACACTGGATGGTGACCAATTAAAAGAAAAGCTATGTAATGGAGAGCCCTCCACGTGCAGCGCATGTGTGTGAGGAGAAGGGGGCGGACGGGGGAAAGAAGGAGGGAAAGGCTAGAGGGGATTAGTGCAGAGATAAGGGCGCAGACGTGGCAATTGGCCGGCTTGAAGGAGGCCAGGGAATCGCAATCAGGCACGCTGATAAGAGGCAGTAACGCCCCTTTGACGCCTCGTCTCGGCCACGCTCCCCCATCGCGCCCGCCGCACACCGCAGTCTTTGCGTATCCGTGGAGTGGGTGGGCAGTTCAGTACAACGAATGGCTGATCTACCCCGCGCGTGCTGCAAGGTTGGGCTGGGTGGTTTAGTTAGCCTACCGACTCGGCCAGCCCATAGCAGTAACCTTGTGACTGGTCCAGGTCCGTGGCCACATTGTGGCCATGGGGTGGCGGCACAAAGGCAGGTGCTCTAGTGCCGACAAGTGTGCCGGCCGCTCTGCAGACCATACGGGCTAACGGTCCCGCAGCAGAACGCGATGTGTCACATTATTCGCACACTCCTGGGTCGAGTTCCGGGAGGCCTGTGTGTGGCTATTGGTGCCCACGAAAACTGAACAAAGTGTATCCCCGTTCCTATACGAGCTTTTGATGAGATGACCATTAACTTTGATGGTAATTGTTTTCAGATGAAAAAAATGTAAGTTTTTGAAAAGCCGCCGGTAATGGTCGCGATTGGTTCATAAAAATTTCCATAACGTTCTCGACTATCGCTTCTCAACCCTTCCGGCCAATGTGATAGGGCTGGTTCTGGTTGGGCGCGCCAAAGACAAGTTCATCCCGCCACTTTAGAAAAAAAAAAAGATATATACAGAGAATGAGTGAAGGGAAAAAAAGTTGACGCAAGAGTTTAAAATCTATTAATCTCCTCGTAGGACAGGGTTTGCTGCGCTCATATCACAACACGATCTAAACGTCTGACGGGCCGACGGCGACCAGTTCAACTTTAACACCAAAAGTATTCAACCATAAAAGCAACAGAGAAACTGCTCTCCTGTATAATTAAAAGAGCCAAAAATACTCCACCAAAGATCAATCGAAATCTGATAAATGAATTCGTTTTTTTTTTTTTTTT